AATGACTCGGTTTGTCCCATCAGGCCGAGCTTTGGCCCTCCAGGCCGAGAAGCTGCAGCAAACAGCCCTTTCAGGCCCTGGCGCATGGTTGGGAGCGATCAGCGACGGGGGAATTTGGATGGACACTGAGGGCATGGGGAGGGGTACTGAAGCCCCAAACATTCGGGCTTGGGTAGAGTAACCCCTCAGCACGCAGCCCGAGGGTGGGGGTGGGAATCTGAGCCTGATCTGATTTACTAAGCAAATAGGGCCCTTCCCCCTCTGACCCCAGCGCTCAAAGGGTTTGTTGTCCGCCTCGTGCATGGGGCAGGAGAGGCTCTGGAAGATGCTACAAAGAAAGGGAGGCCCCTAAACCCCTAAACTGATGCTGTACCCATCAGTCCTTTGCAGCGCCAAGGAAATAAACAGTGGTTCTGAGGCCTTGGCTGACAGGTGGTTGCCTGGATACAAGGACCCGGCAGCCACCGGAACTGGCCACCCCTGGAGAGACCCGTCTGTTGAGCAGCGCTGTGGATCTCTGCTGCCACTTTTGCAGCCACCCACAGCCAGGACTCAGGCCGTAGAGAAACCAAGCCCCCTCAGTTCAGAGAGCAAGCTCTGGTTCTCAGGAAGGAAGGCTTCTGCTACTACAGATGCCAGCCCTGATGGGCCTCTGATGATTTTAGAAATGCAAATGACATTTGCTTAACAACCTGCTGCTCACTGAGGTAGCCCCTGGGCACTCCCTGGAGGATCTGTAAGGCAAAGCTTCTTAGCCCTCTACCTACAAAGCAGGAGACAGTGCCACAGCCCTCCTCTCATCCCAGGGCATCCAGTCTGTAGTCTGTTTTACAGACTAAATTCGCCCCCCACCCTCCCTTCCAGACCTGATTGGTTTTAAATTCAGCACCCTGTCCCACTGTCCTGAGGTGCTTCTGTCATTGAAGCCCAGGGGTCTGTCCCTTCACCTGGACTCCCCCAGAGGACAGGACTGACCCTTGCTTCCTTGACTGCTCTGAGGGTCTGCACACAGCTAGAACTTTGCTACTTTCAGCTGCCTTGAGAGCACCTGGCACTGCAGGTAAACAGCATGGGGTACTGGGGCTGCCATATGCCCTGGGACCCATTACTGCCCAGCCCCCCAACCTGCCGGGAAACAGAAAGTCCAATAACCTTGGCCTGGCAGCTCCGGGCAGTGGTTGTAATCGAGGATGTAGGAGAGGCAGTGCCAGTGGCTGCCAACAGCAGTGTGGCTCAACCACCTGGAAACCTGCTTTAAATGCTGGACACAGATGCACAGCCTACGCTGAGAACCTGCCTGTGCATCACCCATGGGTGAGCGAGAGAACACCAGAGAGGTCATGTTGCTGCTCCAGGTGTCAGCTTCTCTTTGCAGTGAGGCACGAGGGGTGGACAGGATATGCTAGATCATAAGCAGAGGCAGCCTGCGTGCTTGCGACACTTCCTGCAATGTGGGGTTGTAACACGTTTGATAGAGGCTGGATTTTGCTTTTACTCCCTCATGGATCTTAGCTGTGGGGCCCTCTCCCACGGATTGGCCTTACCCTCCCTTGAGATTTTCTTTCTCTGAGAGGAATGTTAACCCCAAAACTTGACAGCCTTTTGGTGAACATGTGGAGTCCCCACCCCCTGGGGAGGGTGGCACACTGGGAGCTCCTGGTCTATTGCTTAAAGACCCACTGCCCCTTTGATAGGTCACCTGTGACCATCACAGCAGCCCAGAGAAACTCCGCCAAGGGCCTGGGGCCATTCTGACCTATAAAAGGCAAGGCCCTGAGGCCTGGGTACTCTTCATCTTCTAGGCTGGCAAAGCCCACAGGCTGAGCGCTGAGGAGAGGGACCAACTGCTGCCCAACCTGAGGGCTGTGGGGTGGAACGAGCTGGAAGGCCGCGATGCCATCTTCAAGCAGTTCCACTTCAAAGATTTCAACAGGGTATGTTGGGGAGGGGACAGCATGCAGCCTCTTTCCCAATTCAAGTCCAGGGGGCCAAGGCTGGCTGACCACACTAATCCAGTCTATGTGGGAAATTCAGTTCCCTGCATAACTGGTAAGGGTCAGGAAGATGGGTTAGGGCCTACCCTGCCTAGTACCTTAAGAAACAATCTTCAGAGGACATGGTTCAGGTAGCAACCAGGTGTATATCAATTGACATTTTAATGGACAGCCAAAAGGTTGGCAAGACTTTAACGTCCTGTGCTCTTCACCTTGCTAGCAATCAAATGAGACATCCTCTGAGCTGCAGAGACAACCTCTAGGACAAGTACCCTGGGAAAAGGCCGAGAGCCAGGGACCATTCCTGTGGGAAGCAAGTCTATCCTCCTGTGTCTGGGGTAGTCCCAGTGGCCCTAAAAAGGTACCCGGGCATCTCTTGTCTCAGAGCACTAAGATGGGTCTTGCTCCACTCAAACAGGCTTTCGGCTTCATGACCAGAGTGGCCCTGCAGGCTGAGAAGCTGGACCACCACCCCGAATGGTTTAACGTATACAACAAGGTGAGTGGGGCCGGGCAGCCTCCTGTGCTCTGCCCCATCCAGTTCTGAGAAGGCGGCTTGGGAGGCCCTGGCGGGGCCAGCCTAACCCTCTCATTCTATTCATCTTCTTTGACTCCACATAAACACACCTCCAAAGCCTGCATTACATAGGAAGACTGTCTCACTACAAACTAGCAGTCAGCAGTGGTTTTGGGGTTTGCCTTTAACTATTAGGTTGCTCCTGACATCTGAAACTACATCAAGGGGAGGTGTAGTAGAACCAGACCTGTCGGGTGCCCTGGCCCTAGTACAGGCAGTGGTAACCAGCTGCTGTTCCCTAGAGAGTAGCATAGTAGTGCCTGGCTACCGGCTACTGTCCCCAGGAGTGACACCTGCTATTCTGGAGCCCCTGCTGGGGCAGAGCCCAGCAGGTAGCAATGCTCTGCACTGTTCGGCAGTCAGCAGCACTGGCAGGCCCTGAACTCCTGGTTTTGTTGCAGGTGCACATCACCCTGAGCACCCATGAATGTGCAGGGCTTTCAGAACGGGACATAAACCTGGCCAGCTTCATCGAACAAGTGGCAGTGTCCATGACATAGATGCCACCCTGCCTTGCATTCCCAGGGTGGGGGTGGCTGAACTGGACACAGGGAGGAAACTGAGAACCGCCCTCTGCCCCCCGCACTGCAGTCAGACCTGCCGTCGTGACCCTGCTGCCTCCACTTAGGGGCGCATCTTTGCTGTAGAAAGATGCCAGCGTCGCTGCCAACACCAGGAATCGAGCCCTTCCCCCAGCCACTCTCTTCATTCTTGGAGCTCTGTTATTTTCACCGCCTTGAATAAGCTCTCCCTTCTGTGCAACTGCTGGGCAGCCTTAATGGTATTCTTTGTAATGATGTCCTTTCTGTGCCAGGTCTTGCACCCTTTCTAATTCATTTACCAAGCAGCTGTGAAGGGTAAAATAAAGTCCTTAGAACCCAGGACCCTAAAGCAAATCCCATCTCTCAAATGTGTGCTTTGATGTTGCCAATAAAACTTATACCGCTGGCCTCAAGCTCTAGAAACTTCTTTCTCACAGGCCAATTCCAATTGGAGTCAACGGACATTTAGCCTTTCGTGTGTGTGTGTGTGTGTGTGTGTGTGTGTGTGTGTGTGTGTTTCTGAGGTTTGGACCTAGGCAGGCACTCAGCTACGAAGCTACATTACATTCTGGCCAACAGGCATTTAAATGAAATCACTCACTCCATACAAAGCATTATTCCAAGTACTGGGGGACAGGGTGGGAGCTCAGCAGGCTTGTTGCTGGGGTCCGTATCATCTGGGAATCCAACAGGAAAACCACTGGCTGTTTTTAGGATAAATGAAGTTAATGAAGATGGCAGAATAAAAAATGGGCTTAGGAAACACAGGGATTTGTGTGACAAGGGAGATTTTGAGTTATCCCTCCAAGACCCAACTAGGATTCCTGAGAGGCAGCCCAATGTGGTGGTGCACACCTGTAGGCCCAACACTCAGGAGGCCGAGACAGGAAGATCACCATGAGTTGGAGGCCAGCCTGGGCTATGTAGTGAGTTCAAGGCCAGCCTGAACTACCCTGTCTCAGACCAAAACAAACACCTGTTCCTACTTAAGAAGGCAGGATAAATGATTCATTCTCACAGGGCACGGCCCCAACACACAAAAGGCTGAAGCAGAAGGGTCACCAGGAGTTCGAGGCCAGCCTGGGCTACTCAGTTCAAGACCAGCCTGCATTACATAGGAAGACTGTCTCAAAACAAATGAACAAACAGGATCCTTGAGTCAAAGGTGGCTATGGGGACATAATGAACACAGGTAAAGGCACACAGTGCATGGGACCTATATCTAGGAAGGGAGTGTGGAGCTGTGTTATTTTCTTTCTTTCTTTTTTTTTATTTATTTATTTATTAGAGAGAGAGAGAGAGAGAGAGAGAGAGAGAGAG